TATATATAGTTTTCATAAAAATGTACATATTTACCATAAAAATGAGAGGACTGCTAATGTTCATAATTTTTTCTAAACATATTTTACACGTTACGTTATCTGGTGGTTATCACAACAAACCAATTACCATGAATCCAGTCATGAAGAGGTCAATGAGCCATGGTTCAAAGCATGGATCTCATCTGAGACAGAACTGACAAGGCCTGATAGATCAGACAGGGGTCAAATCAAGAAAGAGAGAAAAGAAGCCATACTGCAGAAGCGTCATCACCCTTGTTTCATGCTCATTCACGTCTCCAGGCAGCATTAAATCATACCATTTCAAACCGCCGGCATCAAAAGAGTTTTAATCTGTGTGTTTATTATATATTTTCACTCCTAGCGTAAACCAAACTCAAACTTTGTCCAAATACCCTCTCAACGCCAAGGGAAGGGTTGTGGCGCTGATGAAGATTGATGGTCTCTCTGGGAGGAACATTAGCTGCTAATCAAGTTATGTTTCCTGGCGCTCCGTTTTATACATCGCTATTTGCATGCAAAGAGCACAAGATCCATGTTTGCTATCAGGCCTGCTTATGAAACACACTCATACATCCAAGTCAGTGCTGTCCATCCAGATAGCAATGCTAGGAGACACCTTCATGCATTAACTGATCTCTGTTTAATATGAAAAACAGACACTTTCACCACTACCAACCAAGCTTCACACACCACTGCACAGTTTAGACAAGTCAAACTATATTTATATAGTAAATTTAAAAGCAATTCAAGATGAACCAAAATGTTGCAAAATGCAAGAAATTTGAAATATTCTCAAATAAATAAAAATAAAGCAATAAAATAAATTATTATTATCATAAATAAATAAATAATGCAGATAAGACATTATGAATAATAATAAAAACAGTTAAATGGAAGAAAAACAACAACAAAAAACCTACTGGCCTAAACCTTATATTGAGTTTAGGGCCTAAACATAATATTTCTCACTCCCATTTTCTGCCAAACACCAAAATCCGCACCACATGCAAGTAATCTTAACTTGAGGTAGGCCTAAACCAGGCTACCTATGACTCCATATGTACTGCCTTACAACAAACACTCTTTTTATCATAATGTAAATGTTTGACACTTATTTTAGGAATCTGAGGTTTATTTGACTTTCATGCTCTCATTTGGCCCTTTAAAAGCTGAGATTCCGCAGAGCAGTACACTAAATGCAAGCCTGGTGAGACAAACAGTTAATGCACGAGTGATCCTCATATCAACCAAATTTGCAAATGACACAGTCATGAAAAACACAGATGGGCACCCGCTGCTCTCGAGTCAAATGTCAAATTTGTTCTTTGATTTGGAATGACGTCATGAAGTATTCGCTGATGATTGTGTGTTTACATATCTTTTCAGATGCCTGACTGAGAAGCTGTAATAGGAGGTTAGCACAATAAATATCTCTCTCACCCACACATATGGCCGCACACAGT